ACAGAGTCTTTCTATCCTTGATATGCATTGCTGCATTTACAGTCTAAAACTTCACCGTGAGTAAGAAAGAAACTAGAGAAGTTTAATGCCAAATTTTGATTTAGAACGTCGTTTATCTGAAGATAAAACATTATTAAAAATGACTCTTTTAGCTCCATTGGCCGTAAATGTCCCGGTTAAATGACGGGGAAAAAGGAGTAGATAAGGCCAAAATTGGAGGCAGGCATGCTCATACCAGCTGCAATGGCATCAATCAAATAGTGCAAAAGTAAATTCTTTTTTTTTCCTTTTGTGCTCTTTATTCTATAAGTGATGTGCAGACTTTAATGGCTAGCTTCCATTTACATTTTAAAGTGCTCTGCCTTTACAAATGTGGTGAGTGAGTGAGTGAAAACTATAAGTTCCATTGAGATGAGTGAGCAAGTGGTGTGTGCACTTAGTGGCACTATGCAAAGCTTGTGTTTAAAAACTGATGAAGTCTATTTGTTTGTCAGTCAAATAATTATTATTGCAAAATGCCTCTTCCTCTGTCCATGTGGCCCCCACCCTGCATTTTGGTAACTCTCTTGCCAGTTGCTATATGTAGTTTTCACTTTTCAATTTATATTTGTATTTTTTGTGATCCCAAAAGTGATTTAGACTTCCTGAAAGAAAACCTATTACCGACTTGACAATAGAGTTGAAGAAGGTAAATTAAGCTATAATCTTGGTATGATTGATAGGATATGGGGCATTCCTCAGGCACGTGCAAGAATCTCATGTAATGCATGATTATTCTTTATTGTCGTTGCCAAGAGTCGAACCCGATTGCGCATTGTGTAACATAATAATCTCTGTTTGTTTTCATTATAAATTATTTTCAAGTGTGTTATTCATAAACTTCCTCTTTTTTGCGAAGCAGTTTGATTTCATTTTTCTTCCTATTATTGTGCATTAAACATTATGTTATTGCATAAAAAAAACAACTTATTCTCATGAAGGTGGAGGTTGGGTTCTGTTGTTGAATAACATGGTGCAGTTTGCAGAATTTTCAATTGTCAAGCTGAATTCTCAAATCTTTCCTTAGAATTCCACTTGTGTCCCTAACTCCCTATAAAAGTAACCTCATCATGCACCTTATGACATAAACAAATTATATTAAGAAAGGGAAGAGTGAGCACAAAGAATAAGTTGAACAAGACAAGACCTTAACCAGGCTAGAAAATCCTACTCCCCTAGTACCTTGATGTATGATAGTTGATCGATATTCTTTTCAATTCAATTGGTTCAGAATTCAAAACTAAAAATTACTCCGGGTATATATTTAAAAACTAAATAAACGATTCTACAAAACAAGTAGGAACTTAACTATTTTATTTTCTCAAACGTTCAATGAAAGAGTACAGAACTATAGTTTGATTATGTGAATAGTGTCAATTGTCAAACCTTCCTATTGACGTGGCATGTGGGCTCTTGAGGAAGATCAGACCTAAATCACCTAATTAAGCCCAATCTAAAGGGGTAGTCTCCCAAAGATCTTCCCTTCTTATATAGGAATATAGGATCAAATGTTTAATGATTTGTAACTGATGAAGGGGTAGTCTCTAATACCAAAACAACTGGTCCTTATGCAGTCCCTTAATGTCAATTTTGATGGAGGGTTTTGAGTAGAGTTTAAGACTTTGGAAATGTTATTTTATATCTTCAAAAAACAAATGTTCCTAAAAAACAGTTGATTGAAATGGTATAAGCTCCCAACCATCTCTTCTTCAGTTTCCATACGAGCTCCGAATCAACGGGTGGGAAATCTCATGCCAAACAAATTTAGCCAAAGAAGAGCCTATATATCAAGATTTTAGCTTGGCCTTTTGAAAACCCTCCATCTACACCGACCTTAGTGAGTGTTTGGGGCTGTGCTTGAAAACTAGAGTTAGATTTATGTTTCATCAAAATGCAGTTTAACGTGTTTTGCAATATGTTTGTGCTTATAGCTTATGGTTTTGAAAGTGTAAAATGAGCTCTAGATGTGTTTTTCAGCAAAGCTAAGACTAAGTGCTCTCAGCTTCTGCTGATAACTTCTGTGAATCTACCATAACCCCGAACACCCTCTTAACTAATCTAAAAGGCACAAATCCTTCTATCAAAGGGAATTTAATTCTTAACTAAGTATCATTCCATCCAAGATTGACCTGTTCAACATTGCAGCTATGCATAAGAATCCACAGGTTAGCAGAGGTTAGCATTTCTATATCTATGTAAGCAAAACACTAAATATATCAGATTCATATCAAATCACCTGAAATATACAATTAGAGATACAATTTCATTTTCTTCACAAGAATTTGGAATGAGTTTTTTTTACATACCTCACAATGTGACTAAACTATGGAACCACACAACAAAATCAATTTTTTTTTGTCTTTCCATCAAAACCTTTTAGGGTTAGTGTCCTTCAAAAGGACTGGTTGGTCAGTCATGGAGAGGCAATACTTGGCAATTTCTCTAAACTTTGGGACACTTCTCAAGTCAACCTTAGTCCCATCCTTGAGAGTGATGACTATATCACCCCACTCTCCTATAAACCTAGGCACAACCTGAACTTCCTTGATTACCTTGTACGAAAAGTCGATTCTACCCTTCCCTGTGAGACCTGAGATCACAGTGACCCTCAGATTCGAGAATCTGTACCTAAGACTGAAGGCTCTGATTAGTGCGGCCAGAGACAGAGGCAGCCAAAGAACAGTGACACCCAGAAGAAGGTTCGCAACGAGGTCTCCGTAGTGAGATCCGCCGTCGAAAAAGACGGTTTCTTGGGTGGGTTTGGCGACGGCGGCGGAGGCCGGAGACGGCTTGGAGGACGCGTGGATTCTGGCGGTGGGTCTCGTGGATTTGGGGGTTCGGGAAATGAGGAATGGGGGCTTGGTGGCTGCGTAGAGAGAATGGATGGGGATGGCGGCGGGGGACTGGGAGAGGAGGAGAGAGCAAGAGATGTTTGCGGCCATGGAAGCGGTTTATCCGTTGGTTCGGATCTTTTCGGATAGAAAACAGTTGAGGGCCGATTTATCTGTCAAAATAAGAACTAAAATACTCCCTAAGTTTAAAAAGTTGTTAGACATCCAAAACGGAAGAGAGAGTAAAAAAAATGAAATAAAAAATTCAACTAAGAAGTTTATTCAAATAATTGGACAATTGGAAAAAATATTCCTTGTCACAATAGTTTACAATCATTAACGATACAACTAGCATATTATTTACTCCCTCCGACCCAAAATATTTACCACATTTGCTTTTTCAGCAGTCGCGAATACTTTTGTGTATTTCTACGTTTTCATTGGTTATTTGATAAGATAAAATATTCTTGACGCCTCTTATTTTGAAGAACTTTTCAGGTAGTTTTTTGATATGTAAATTTTATTTTTTATTTTTATACCAATATGTAAACAAAATGAATTGAAAAAACTTGGTATTTTGTCTCGGAAATACAAGTGTGACAAATATTTAGGGACGAAGGGAACACTATATAATGAGTACGTCTCATTATATAGTTAATGAAAAAGAAAACAATAAGAGTAACATTTAAAAAAAAGGCTAGTGACATTTGATGTGACTATGAAAAGTAAAAGGAAACAATTATTGAAAATAAGAAGTTTGGGCATAAAGTAGAAAGGAAAAAAAAATAGGGTGCTGGCGTAGCTCAACTGGTCGAGAGTGTAGTAAAACATAGAGCTTACCCAGATTTGAAACCTGTCAACAAAAAAAGAATGAGCTTGTTAAGCGTGAGGTATTAGCAGGTATCAGAATTAGATCTCACGTTCGACTAGACTGTGACTATAATCAATTTAATTCCTATATGCCTAATGTCCATACTCATACTGGAAGGGGCGAGGGAGACCCTAGCGAGAGAGGAGGGCAGCTTAAATTTGAGAATATGAGGTATTACTTTGACGTGAAAGTGCGTATAAGTAAAAAATAAAATGTGAACATTTTAATGGGAGATAAAAAAAAAGTGTAAACTTTCAAATGAGACACAGAGTAATAAGGAGAAGCTAGAGTCATCTCCATCGTGAAAATCTTGCAACACACGAAGACAATGAGACTAAAATTTAACTTTTCGAATACCTTGAATCTTCAACCAAGACATGCTTCTGGACATGCTATAGCTTCGCCAATCAAGATAAATATTTGTATTTTATTATGTTTCTCTTTAAACAAAGTTTTATTGTATAATTTTCATTTAATTAAAAATATATAGTAGTGATTAAATTACAAAGTAAAAACTAAACTATGAGACCACAATAGTAGATGAAGATGAAAAATCATTTTTCTAAAATTTGTGTTGCGTCTATTTATAGCAAAAACTCAATATGTAAGCATGTAATTGTTAAAAGTATTACAGAGTATCTTACTTCAACATGTGAAAATAGTTGACATCACAAAACACATACAGAGTACTTAAAACACATTTCATATTCCTGCCTAGACTTAGAAGTTTGTAAATGTGTTTGTTTCTTGTTTTACATTGAAGCTAGAAATTGCTCAATTATACTACAAGAATCTCATTTGTGCCCCTAGTTTTCATTAGTGGTGTGTTGGTACTTCTAACTTACATAGACTATAGAGTATTTGTCGATTTGTCGTTCTACATTTTAAAGTCTTTTATTATCATTTATGTTGACTTTTAGAATTTGTTTTTATCACGCTAAGAAAATCTTGCATTTGACATCATAGTATCTCACCACACACAAATAGTTCCCATAAAGATGATTACTGTGTGTGTTAGAGTCTACGAGGTGATCTAGTCTGAATGTAGTTATATTCAAAATTATTTCTAATACGAATAAGTAACAAGTAAAAAAAAAGTTCAGAGAACATGGCCTAACACAACAATAATCCCAATAAATTCCCAGAAATGGATATATGGGTAGACGAGCCAAACACTGAAAAAATATACTCCAAGAACACTAACCAAAATATAACTGGGCACCAATGAATGCACCATGAAACTGCACTTATAATACAGATTGCCTAATCTATATCTATTATCTGTCTGTATAAATAACAAAGAATGCATCTTCCAGTGACTAAAGCAACAGCTATACAATGCCAAATCATGTAAACAAAAAAAAGTAAAAGAATTGTTAACTGCCCCCCTAGCTATCTATCATGTCACTACTACATGACTTTCATACCCTTCCCACAATCCCGGGAGACAAAAAAATTATTAGATAAATTGGCTGTGGAATTGACGGCCAGTTGCACGGGTAATAGCTGGAAATTTACCCTTCAGTATATCTAAGGATTTTCCGTTTTACCTCTTGTAAGGGGCTCGGTGTCTCTGTCAAGAATTTACAGTTATCCAAAATGGAAGCCGGTTGATGAACTATAAGAGCTTGAGAGGTTTGGAAGCTTGAGAGTGGCGATGATACCAGCACCGAGGGCAAATATGGACGCTATGGCAAACGCTGGTATGTTTCCTCCCCCAAATAAAGCGTCCCAGGGACCCGCACCAAGCGACACAATCATCTAACAAGGATAGTGATCGTATCATCAATCATAGAGCAAATGAAATCATTCACGGCATCATTTACTCTTTCTTTTTCTGAGGCCTCATTTACTCTCTATTCTTTAAGTACAGGATCAATAGAGATTGGCGATGACACATAATTTTGGATAGTTGTTTGTAGTTTGTATGTAAGAAAATGGTATACAAAGAGCATATAAAAACAGGATTTCGGGCAAAAACAGATTATCATCTAGTCATAATGGAAAAAATGCAGATATAGTTACAAGATAAACCACAGTCTACCTGTGGTATGACAATAGCAAGGTTGAGTACTCCTATGGCCAAGCCTGCAAACAAGAACAAAAATGTCAAGAATCATATGAATTGAGAAGCTATCCAACAGACAATACGCGCTATATAAAAGAATTGCTTTTTTTTCAAAAAAAAACTACCTTGTCCACCCCCAGCATCAGCTGTCAACTCTGCTGTGATGGAGAAAGGAACACTGTATGTAACCTACCATCAAATAAAGTGGGATCAATTAGAAGTTGAAGTTTTTTAAATTGTTAGTGCCTTAGTGGCGTGTGTAAATACAGTTGAATAATGAATTAGAAGCAGTGTAAGAGCTTACAGCAAGGGGAATGCCAAGAAGAGCAAAAACGATCAGTGAGGATATTCTAGTAGCATCAGTTGCCCCAACAATGTGTTGAACTCCGTTTGATGATACACTAGAGGAAACAAAGCTAATAATTGTAGTCCCTGCCATGCAGACGAACACCATAAAATTGCTAATGGCCCAAACAAGTCTTGCACCAATCCATTGACACATTGGATCAATAAAGAAAGATGTTATGCCAAGAAGAACCTGTTCAAAGAGAAACTCTCAACCAACAAATTTTTTCTCAATTTCAGTGAAGTTTTGTTATACTAGGAAAAGAATAACCAGGATACTAGAGAGTTTGGATGATGTTTAATTTTGAGTTCTTACAGAATTCAATAGCAAACCAAATGCACCTTCTCTGACACCTTGATTATAAGCTTTTACTTCAGAAACATCTCCATTTGGATCCCCATGATAGACTTCTCTTCCCATCCAATCAGTGTCAAACAAGAAAAAGGGGAACCAAGACAACTGGTTGCAAGAGTCACAAACACAGCATTAGTGAATGGACGAAACTGAGAAGATAAAAGGCAACAATTATTCCAAATTGATGCTTTTTCATAACTGTAAATATATAGAACTCAACAGATTGTAAATCATGATCGAGCATTTACCCATGTCAATGCCATGACAGCAAGTACCGAATGCATAGCAGGAGGTAAATGTCTTAAGCTGGTCAATAGATTAACTAAAACTGCAGCAGGACTATCATTAAAGCTATCAGCTGGATCATTCTCTGTTCGGCCTTCATGTTTTAGATTATTATTATTATTCTCATCCATATAACCATTCTCAGATTTGTTGACAGATACAAGGTTGATGGGCTGCATGTCATTTTTTGGTTGTGAAATATCAAATCCAACATCCGGGGGACTATCCAAGAGAGGGGAAGAATCTGACAACCGGTGATGTTGACTGGCCATCAGTGGGACTTCCTTGGCAAAGTAGAGAGTAATTAGAGTACACAGAGCCAAAAACACCTGTTTGTGAATACAAAACACACAATCAGGGAATGAAACAAAAACAATAGAGAGAGCTTCAGTGTTTAACTAAAGTGCTTTAAAGTATTCTCATATGAAAATTAATACGGAGTAACCTACAGAGCATGCTGTACTCAAACATACTATGAAGAAAACTGTTAGCGCCACATTGAATTCTTCCTAACGTGCAGGATATAGTGCGTAGAACAAGTTTGACCAACTTCAGGTATGAATATGAAAGATCATAATTGATCTCCATCTAGCATTTGTAATGAGGGCAATCAGTGAACAATACACAAAGCTGTATCCGCATACCTCCGCATTACCGTATATATAGTTTTCACTGCTAAACATTAATCATAGTTATATCTTCTAGTGGTTTCTAGGGAAACAAACAATTGTACATGAAGGGTACTATTGTACTAAAGCTATGGAACAAAATTTCTTGCAACACTACATGTAGTACTATCATGGAAATCCATCAGCAAAGAAATATTAAAGATAAAAACAAGAAAGGAGGGTGCCTTGTCATAAGGAAATAAATGCTATTGCATACAAATCCTACACTACAGGAACTATTTACAGGAGCAAGTGCCTATTGTTCAAGGCTTCTAGCCTTTCTCTAAGCAACTAACTCACCACGGCGACTAAAAAAGCTGCCTTGAGGTTCCCACATGGCTCACAGCAAGCTCTGCTCATCAGAAAAGGAAACCATCTATCCAGAAACAGAGTACCAATAAAAGAATTTTAGGCATTTAGTGTCTTCTGATCATAACCTAATAAACAGAATACATATTTTTAACATTGAAATAAGATTGATGACAGTGGAATGCATAACATCAATTTGTGACTTCTTAAAAGAAGTTGTTGACCTATGCCAATTTCCACTGGCTCCAGCTGAAAATCCTAAAATATTCCCAACAGCCATCCAGGAACAAAATATAGCATTTGCAGTATTTCTTTGCTCGGGACCTGTCATTATAGCCAAGATGCTTAGCTTTCCTCACAATGGAAACAATGTAGAGTATAAAATTACCAATCACCATTTCTCATACCAGTATGACATAGTTATATACCTGATAAATCAGCCAAAAGAGCTCGAGCTGGGCCCTGCAAATAATTATAAAAAGAACATTTTTTCATTATGTCTCCCTAAGCAAAACTTGATGGCATCATAGCTGTACAACCAACTTGCATGCGTTTTTTGCACTAACCTGTACAGTATTGTTTGCAAGATCCAACATCCAAAATCCGATAATAAACACTATAGCAGCCCTTGTTCGAGTACCTTTGAAAGTGCTGTATTATTTCAATCTGGTTACAACCTTCACATGAAATACTAGGAATTTTCATAAGGCAGGAAGTAATTAAAACCTGCAGTGCTCCTTTGTATCGCCTAAAATGTATCCTATGTCTGCAGAAAACCCAATTACTATTACCTACATTGTAATATCAAGTTAGCTCAGATATTTTTTACGAGATAGTGAATTACAAGTTAGTGTGAATGTATGAAGTATGATAACCTAAAGATAAATAGAAGTATTTAGTGCTCACAGCAAAGGCTATCATGAGAGATCCAACAAATATAAAAGGTCGTCTTCTGCCATACTTGGAGGAGCACTTATCACTCCATATTCCAACACAGGGTTGCACCTAATAGAGACAAAATTGATAAATTATGCTTAAACTTTACCAAATAAATGAAAAGATTATTACGAACTTTCATTCCCTACAGAACTCATAAGTACCAAAAATTAGGAGTTCAAACCCACTAAGTTGATTTCTGATATCAATTAACTGTAAAACCCACTATGTTGGAAAGCAGTAAATCCACAGAGTTCCGCCTTCCTAGTAAAACTTGGAATTGACCTTACTGCTCCATTTTTAAATATTAAAGGTGAGATTGAGGACCAATTTGGTGGAATCTTTTTGGACTTCCTAGCCTGAGTCGTCAGCATATCCAGCAATTTTACAATAATATACTCCGTAACAGTTTTAGGATTTATATGCACAGTGATTCAATATAAATCTCCCCAACAAAATTCAACTCATTCAGTTATTTCAAACAATTTAAGCTCACACCGAAAGGAGCCTACAATAACGCCAACAATCATGCAACTTGACAACAACCCAGCATTATCTCAACTCCATTGGAGTCTGATGGTGAAGATGTATGCAGTCTTATCCTCTAAACATAGTCTTCTTCCATAGGACCCTTAATGAATTGTTACATTTACTGCCCAAATTTTCATAGATAGTAAGAAGCAAAGGAAGTTTAATGTGTTATTTTGACTTAGTCCATTATCTGCCCGAAGATAAAATGTTGTCAATAATGACTCTTTTGGTTGAGTCGACAATGGACAGCTTGACTACCATAGTATTTATTATTTAACCAAAACAATTGCCAGTTTGCCACCTAACATTGAAAAACTTTCTCACAACTATACTCCAGCAAGACAGTTTAGATGTTATGACAGTTGAAAAGATATGAAGGAAAACCTACCACAAGACCTGTAATTGGGCCACATAGCCAGATAAAAGAAGAGAAGGCGTGTTGTATGCCAAGCGTCTGCAACCAAATAGAGACGGCAAACATAAGCATTTTTTACAACGGAAATTACAAACAAGCATCTGAAACTTGAACTGGCTACAGGTTAAGGAAATGGTCCTTGAAAAAAATCAGATTGATGCATCTAGCTGCACACAAAATAATTCAAGATGTAAGAAATAGCATAAGAAATCTCGGTAAACATTTGAGCCCAAAATAATACTACTATTGTGTGGACACCAAAAGATCCAAGGCAAAGGCTTTACTTGGCCATAAACTCCTTATTTTTTTGACAAACAAAAAAGAACCATATAAAAAGGCAGCATTTTCAGTTTTCACGATACTCTACCAATGCATCTGGGCAAGCATCAATTCCACACCAGATTCTAGAAATGCAATTTCATTCTGTGCAACTGAAGCTACCTAAAATGGTTACCACTTACCACTAAACAGATTGAATTTTACTATAATTCAAATAGATGCTATTGTCTGTTCAAGTTGCAATTGTGCAAAAAGTAATGGCAAGTTGGAATCAAATGCTCACTCAGCCAGAGAAGATATGATCCAGCACTCCAAACCCTAAAAAACTACTGGACTAAACAATGCACATAAACAAAACTGAAGTAGCAGCGAGGAACACCTGAATGTAAGGGGTGAGGAGAGACAGTTGCAACGCCCAGCCAAATTGGACACCAGCGGCGACCGTACAGCTGAGGATCAAGGTGAGAAGGTTGCTGCGAGGAGCAAGCGGCGGGTGCGAACTGGAGGAGTCTCCATTGGAATCCGTGGGAGGTGACGGAGGCGAATCTACCTGCAACCGCCGCAGATGAAGCTCATCCACCCCAACCAACTCCACCTCCTGCTTCAAGTTCTTATACGGCACCCTGATCGACACCGCATCCATCATCTCCGCCCCCTTTCCGCCGTTCCTTCACCTGATCCGATTAACTTACGCGCAATTCTTTACATCCAGATTTACACGGATCAGGAGTATGAAATGGATTTAGCTCAAACAAAGTGACTGGATCCAAATGGAGATCAAATTTTGGGCGCGCTGCGTTTGATCTTCCCAGGTGATTTGTCGGTCGGGTCAATGTCATGAAATCAAGATTCAAAGAATGACTATAAAAAATATTTCTCGGTCTCACTCTCTTTGTCCAGTTTTGACTTTTGGAACTGTTCATCTAAGCACTTTGACTCATCAAATTCTCTCAATGTATAAGCCTAAATATAGTCATGTGTGATCGTATTTGATTTGTCTTAACATATAGATTATTAATATATAATTTCTATAATTTTTTAATATACAAATTACAAGATAAAATGGATTAAAAATTTGTATTGGATGGTGTGCCAAAAGGTAAGTGGACAAAGACAGTGGGACGGAGGGAGTAAAGAATTGCAGTACGTATTGCACCCTTACCTTGCACTAGTAATAACCCCGTGCTTCGCACGGGCTCTGATATTTTCTAAATTTTGACATCTAAATTAAAAAATAAAAATAATATCTATTTTAAGTTCTCTAATGATATATGATGTGTTTGATAAATATTTTTTAGTATATAATATCTCTTTTTGAGAGAAAAGTTTTAATTTTATTATTGATGTACATGTACTAAAATATATATAAAAAAATATACAAAATAAATGCTAGATTGTTTTTTAAAATAAAATAAATGCTGGATTATTTATATAAATAATATGTTATGAAGTTAATAAAGATGCACGTGTGATAAGATTTATATATGATAGCTTTTTTTGAGATGATGGAATTATAAGCAATATTGTTTTTTATGAATAAATTTTATATAATTTTTTTAAATTATAAAATAGTCACGCATAGTTAAAAAATATGTAAAAACAATGAAAAAATATTTCTAAAATAGTGAGAGAGCGGAAACTTTGTAAGAAGTTAATAAAAATAATGAGTTTTTATTGTTGAAAAGTGAAGGATTTATAAAAAATAATAAAAATAATGATTATTTAATACAAAATTAAATATGCATGCATGGAAAGACATGTGTCATGTGATTTACATGTGGCGTGACAAATGTCAGTAGTATGAATGCGTGGCATGACACGTGTCGTCACAACAACTATGGCATGCTTGCATAGAATGACATGATTTACATGTGGCGTGACACATGTCAGTAGTATGCACGCGTGGCATGACACATGTCATCACCACAACCATGGAACTCTCTTTTACATATATATATATATATATAGGATATAGGATTGAAATGTTGAAGGCTTGAAGCACTGATTTTTTTAAAAGTATTTTTTAAAATGTTTTGATTTTTATTTATACAGTTAGCTAAGAAAGACACTTAATCACTAACTAAATAAAAATTACATTATATATTAATTAAATAAATTAATATTTTAAAAATATTTTATCAGATAAATCTAATCAAGTATAGTCCACCCGAATCGAATCTCATTCATCAAATATATTCCTTCCGTCACAAAAAAAAGTTTCTAGTTTTACTTGACACAAAATTTGAGGAAATTAAAATTATGTAGTTGAAGGTGAGGTAGATGAGAAGAAAATATCGTGATTTACTTAGAGTTTTCCGTAAAAGGAAAAATGCGTCTTTTTTGGGAAGCTAAGTCCCAAAAAAGAAAATAAGAAATCTTATTTTTTGGAATGAATTGAATATTTGGGTGATGAACAAGAAAATTATCCGAATTAATTTCACTCTATTGATCAAGCACGTTGGATGCGATCTGATTTAGAGTGCGGTTGGAGATCACCGTCAGTCTTATACCATGCGGTGTGAGTGGCTCGTGTGCGCCGTGATCGCCACTTGGTGCCACCTCACCCCCTATCACGTCATGCACACCGCCCCCCTTAGGTTTGACCGTGATGGTGTTGATGTCATCATGGCCACCACGGCACTCCTCTTTGTTAAATATTACAGCGGGGAAAATAAAATAAAATTAATCCGAACTTATAAAACATTCGGATTTTACAACGAAATAAAGAAAAGTTGGAGTCTTCGGATGCTTGAACGAACGCAAGAACACGAACGGACGGGTACTTGAACGGCAAACAGAGACGTCGGACGAAGAGAGGAACGTCGCCGGAGCAGTTTCTGGAAAGAAGGTTAAGAAAAGCGGAGTCGCCGGAGCTTTCCTTAAGGTAGTATTGCCCGCCTCCCGCACTGGCAACGTGGACAATCTCCTCCCAAGATAAAACCGCTTCGTGCAATGCCTAGAGCGGTAGAACCATGCACCGACGAACGAGAACGACGGAAGTTACTGTCGGAGTATTTGATCGGTAACGGGGAGAAAGAGTTGGACGCAGAAAATACTGGATTTCGAGAGTGTATTCTTCTCCTGCAGCCAAGCCCTCCCTTTTATATGAGGGAATCTTTGGCTCTTCGCTGGACCGTCGGAGATTACGAAGAGATGGGTGTCTCTTCGGTCTCAAGTGCATGCATGCTCACTACAACGGCACTTCGTTAATTACGAAGTATACACGTGTGTTTAATCCCGCCCCGCCCCGGCGCGCGCGCGTTGTGCCGGACAGCGGCGGCGGCGGCGCGCGAGAAGTCCTCTTCTTGTTCCTTTCATAAGCTCAATTAAGTGCCTAAGCTTAAATATGGGAATATGAAAGGTTCAAAAACTGGTGTGGGACAAGAGTATGTACTCTACCCTCGTATATAACTTTGAGAATTAATGTCTCATTCACCCGAGCACCTTTTATGGCGTGTCATATGTCAAGACGTTCATCTTACTTACGAGATTAAACATCCATAATTATTTTGGAAAATAATTTGTGGACCCAACCGAATTTATGTCCGAAAAATGTCCAATTTACTTAAAATTTCCAACAGTCCTATCCAAAGTAATTGTTGCAACGGCTAGTTTCCCTTTTTATCTACTCCCACTGTTTCAATAAACTCTTCCCCTTTTGTCTTTTAGCCAAAATAAGAAAAGTATATTTATGGTTGATTTTTTCAATTTTTTCCCTTGATGTAATGGTTAAAAATAAGACGTGATAGTTAGATTATTAGTGAAAAAATATGATGTGATAAGTAGTGTATGAAAAAGTAAGGATAAAAGTCGTTTTCAATAGAAACTAGAAGTATTTTGGGAAAATGGAAACAATGAAAGAGAAATGGTTTATTGAAACAGAGGGACTATTATTTAAACTCATTCTCTCTATTCATATTAACACACTTTCAACTCTTCTTTTCTACTCCAATTCCGATGAAGCATAAAGTCTCTTAATTACTACCATAGCCATTCAGTTTAAATTCTTATGCAACAACAAGAATCTTTGTTTTTTATTATTGTAATTCATAAAATAATGTCCTGGAATTGTATTTTTGAATTTCCAAATGTTATGTTATAGTAACACGGTTTTAGGCACGACAATAGTCATGAAAAAAAGCTTTGCCTTTTTCGATATCGATTTTTTTAAAAAAAGGCAGAGGTTTGGAACGACATTATCCGTGCCTATTTTTTAGAGAACACAGTTGAACGAAACCGGTTGCGGTCTAACTATTATGCTATTGGCTCGGGGGCATTTGCGACACGGCCTACGCCGTGCCAAAATGAAACACGAATTAAAACGCGCCTTGTGGCTTTGTTGGTTTTTCTCGGTGAAGGCACATAATGTCATAACGTGCATTTTTTGTACTGACTTCTCTTTGAACTGATTTTTGTAATTAAATAAAATTTATAATAGAATTTTGATGCATGAATAATTTTATTAGATTTATTTTTTAAATTTTTTTAATAAACATAACATGTAATTTTTTTTTGTTAAAGGTCAAAATTCAATTTTAATTGACTGTAAAAAACTGGACAAATAATAATGTGGGATACATAGATCAATCAAGTAACTATTAGCATTTAGCACATTTTTTTATAAATTGGGTGGATAACCCATGTGTGTGTGTGTGTGTGTGTGTGTGTGTGTATTCTCGACTCGTAAAACATTCCACGCGTACAAACACAAAGGGTACGAATTCATCTTTAATTGGGAGTATATAAAAATAATACAATGAAAAAACACACGAACAAACACAAAAAAGGTTACATAACATATTCTTGTCACCTTTTGTTTTGTAGAACTTTTGACGTAGTTTTTTAATATGTAATAATTTTTATACTCGTATCTTATTGATATACTAATTTGTAAATAAAATGATTTCAAAAAGTAAGAAATTTTACTCCGTAACCCGCAATTTGTAATCAAATTGGGGACGGATGAGTATGTGATGAATGGTAGAAAAATTGCTTTTTCAAAATATGAAAGCTATAAGAATCCATCTGTAAAATAACATTATTTTTTATGATTTTATTATTCATTGTGGTACTATTAATAAAATAGCAAATCTTCTTTTTAGTTTAATGTTACTACCTCCGTCCCAATTTATAACGTCTGTTTCGGTTTACGATGTTTGACTGAAATTATTTTCAAACCATTTTATATGACAAATGGTATAGAATTAAAAAATAAAAAATACATATTAAAAAACTACATCAAAAGATCTACAAAACTAGTAGTGACAATAATATTTTATTTTATCAAATTGCTAACGAAAATAGAGAAAGAAAGTGAATAAAGTTTGACCCTGTGAATAGTAAACATGCATTATAATTTGGGACGGAGGGAGTACAACTTAGAGCATCTCCAACCATATCATTTTAACTTGTTAAAAGTTACGGAGTACATAATATAATACTCCGTATATAAATACGAGATATCATATTATAACATTGATCATTTGAAATTTGCACGTACAATTATACTTTGTTGGATTCGAAAGTTAATATTGTAACGTATAGGCTAATCGGCACGGATTTGCGGGACTTCGGGGTCGAATGGAGCACAGTAGGGCCGCGCTATGGGTTGATCGAGTCATAATATGACATCCGCAATATAATATTGTGTACCAAGATTAAAGAACCCTATCGTGTGGATATAAAGTATAATATATTTATTAATAAATTCTACTCAACTAATTATTGAATTAATTAATGAAGGTATGATGATTGACTAACAATAGTACTAATTATTAATAAATGAAATTATTGGATGAGTAAGCTTCTAATAAGGGCAGCTTGGGCAGTGTCAGCATCAATGGACTCCAAGAGCTGCCCCAACCGGTCACTCAAGTCGTCCACTTCCCTGTGTAGGCTCCTTATGTAGTTGCATGTCTCCTGCAACACCTTCGCCGCCGATACCTGCACCGCCCGCCGCCACCGTCCGCACACAATTTCCATTAATATATTTATTTTTATTACAAATGAGAGGTAAAAAAACATTGTGAACGATATAAAAAAATTACTCTCTCCCTTCCAGCGTCATATTTGCCTAGTTTGATTTTTTCGAGTCAAAGAAAATGAATTTTGATCTTCATTTAAAGAAAAATTGTAATGTATATTAGTATGAAAATGATTTTGTTAGATTTATCTTTATGAGAACTTCCAAAATTTTATCTCGTCCTATTAATATGCAATACAAATTAGGAATAATTGAAGTATAAAGTTTGTCTAATTTGACTCAAAAAAATTAAATTGAACAAGTACACTGGGTCTGAGATAGTAATTATATATAAATATATACGTGTATGTACCCAAGCAGTTACTACCTCCGTCCCTAAAAGATGTTCCTGTGTTAGAATATAAATAACTCATTCTGGGCCACAACCACAAGCTTGAGCTTTTGGTTGAATTGGTTCCTTGACATGGTATCAGAGCCTTATTGACTAAGAGGTCACATATTCGAAACTCAGCGCCACCCAATTTTTTTTTTTAAAAATTAAAGTTTCACGTGCAAGGCTCGAAAAAGACTACGCCTGCACGTGAGGGGGCGTGTTAGAATATAAATAACTTATCCCGGGCCACAACCACAAGCTTGAGCTTTTGGTTGAATTGGTTCTTTGACATCCTGTTTCATTTTTTGCGCATCCCATAAAATATTTTTCTCTCACCTTAAATGTCAAAAAAAACTTTCAAGACAACTTCTACCTATAATAAATGAGAAATATGGTAAATTTTAGACCGTTTAGATGTGTGTAAAAGTGTATTATGGGATGTATTAAAGAAATAAACGACAAGTACATAGTAGAGACCGACATGCATTAAATAACGGAGCTAAGGGTTTTGGATTATTGAGTTTTTGCCGATCTGCTGCCCGACACTTTAGGGAATACCCGGGGAATAATACATGTACCCCTACATTTGTCCCAAAAAAAAGTTTTAACTTGTAAGTAGAATACTCCTTTCGTCTCACTCTCTTTGTCCACTTTTGACTTTTGGAACTGTTCATCTAAGCATTTTGACTCATCAAATTCTCTCAATGTGTAAGCCTAAATATAGTCATGTGATCTTGTTTGATTTGTCTTAACTTATAGATTATTAATATATAATTTGTATAATTTTTTAATATACAAATTACAAGATAAAATGGATTAAAAAAATACATTGGATGGTGTGCCAAAAGATAAGAGGACAAAGAGTGGGATGGAGGGAGCTTGTTCTCTCTTAAAAAATTCTTCTTTTTTCCTTTATTTATCCTTCTCAAATTATTTTTTGTTTTCTATAAAAGAAAAAATCATACTCCGTATTTATAAAAGGGACAGGAGGAAAAGTAAAAAAAAAAAAAGGTACCCTGTCGGAACGGGCGTTACGGATGTGAGGGAGGAGGCGCTGCAACTTGGAGACGAGGTCGGCGACCTGGTCTTCCGTTATCCTCGGCGCCGGCGCCGGCACTCTACTCGACGGTCTCCCCCTCCGGCTCCCCGACATGTCCCGCCCTTTTATTATTTATATCACAAATACGTACAGAGAGAGAGAGAGAGAGAAAATGAAATATGAGAGAGATTATGTATGTGTGTAGTTAGTTATATGCTGTACGTAGGTAGCTAGCTAGGGCTGAACTGGATGAATTTATAGGACTTTGGAGAGAGAGAGAGAGGGAA